AAGTGAGTCTTTGAGAGAGGACTGGGAAGCCCTGTGCCCTGTTTTCATGGCTGACAAAATTCCTTTTCCTGATGCTTTACATAAACTTCAAATGTGTTCTCTCAGGCAGGAGAAGAGAATCTGCCCATCTGTGCTCACAGGAATCCCTCCTGGGGATGTCTGGGGACATCTGCCCGGCCTATGTTTCCCACCCCCCAAAAAGCTGTCTTTGGGTAAAACATGACTTAGGTCGCTGGCCATAACCTATTAGGTCAGGAGTAGTTAGTTGGACATCTGATCCATGTCTGGACAGTTTGAATTGGGTCTCTCAGTTAGACGGCCTTTCTTGGTGGTTCCTGGGATTGTGAACACATAGATGTGGAGCTGAGGTGCAGACAGAAAAGAGGAATAGACCTGCCACGAAGCAGCTGGAAGAGGCCATGCAGCCCCAGAGAGGAGATTCAAGCTCGCAGCATCACCCTCCAGCTCAAGCCTGCCAGTCCCTCTGCCTTGAGTGAGACGCTCTCCTGCATTGAGAGCTCACACACCCCCTCCTGGCAGACACCCGATTCTTAGAAGTCTCTCCTTCCTCCCCTGGCTCGCTCTCTTGAGACTCAGCTGCCCACTGAAGCTGCTCTCTTGTAGATGAACTGTACCCTAAAGTAAACACGGTCTGAGCAGGCCCTCTCTTCCAGAGCGTGCTCTAGTTCCAGGGCAGGAGGTCACCTGGGAGGGCGCTTCTCAGCAATGCTGACCACAGCAAACATCTACCACAGACGGCCTTAACTGACATAGAAACTATGACCATTTCTGTCCGCTTTGGATCTGCTGGCCTGTGTGAGTATAATAAGCCCTGTTCCTGAAGAGGTTATTTCTGGAAATGCCAAAATGGCTGAGGCATTCACCCATCTGGGCACAGGGGACTGGGGCAGAGAGCTCAGTGGTTAAGAGTGCTTGTTACTCTTGCAGAAAGAAGGCCCCGGTTCAGTTCTCAACTTCCATATTAGGTAGGTCACAACTGCCTGTCAATTCAGTTCCAGGAGCTTACACACCTTCTTCTGGCTTTGGTGGACACCTGCAGGCACATGGTACACACACACACACACACACACACACACACACACACACACACACAC